GTGTCAGTAGGAATGAAGGCAAAATAAACACCCACATCAACACACCCCACACTCACCCACACCCACACACCCATGCCCCACACTCACACTGGCACACCCACACCCCACACCCCACACTCACACCCACACACCCACACCACACACCCACGCCCCGCACTCACACTGGCACACCCACACCCCACACTCACACCCGCTCCCATACCCACACTCCACCCACACCGACACAGCTACGCCCCACACTTACAACCACACCTCACACTCACACCCACACCCACACCCCACCGACACCCCCACTCACACCCCAGACCCACATCCACCCAGTTAATATAAGAGTTTTATATATTTTGTCAATTCATTCTCTCCTACATATTTTTTGCTTTTACAACTATCAACATATTTATCTAGTCTTGCAATTTGATAAGAAAAAAGATAAATAACATACGCAGAATCATTTATATCGTCCATATCACAATTCTAGGAGTAAGGGATTTGTATTTAACTTTATAGAGAAGAATAAAAAATGGTTATGTTCAACATGTTCTTTTGAGAATCCAAAGACAGCTTATCCTATATGTCAGATATGTCAACGACAAGATACAACTTTACCGAGATATTTATCTTTGAATGATATGTCTGCCTGGTCATGTATTTTATGTACGTTCGAAAATAAGGCTAGTGATAAACAATGCAAAATGTGCCACACGAGGAAACCACATTTGGTAAATATCCTATTGGACGTCAATGATAAGATATAAGTAATTCTATTTATAATATAGCAAAATAATTCATCAGAAACCAATATGAGTCTTATGAACATCGAAACGTCGCCAAATACTACGACGCTGATTAATACTGAAAAACCGACAACCAGTGTAACTCTAATGAATACAAAAATGTCAATGGCCTCCTCTTTAGCTACAAAATACATGTCAATGGGTGTTCGTGATCGTCGACATAGAGATGAAACAGAAGCAGAGAGAACATTTCGGAATATTATCAAAGATTGCCATAAAGTAATTTCGTAATCTTTGATCAATACATACTTTCAAAATTTGTTTTTATTATTTAGAATAAAACAAACTTTGTCGACAATCAATTTCCTCGTTCATCAAGTTCTTTAGGTGATAGATTTTCGCATGATGTCTTCCAATGGTTTCGCATTGCAGATATTCGTTCATCTTCTAAGGATGATGATCAACTTGAGTGGACAGTCATGTCATCACCAAAACCAAGCGATATTGAACAAGGTCTCTTAGGAAATTGTTGGCTTATTGCTGCATTATCTCTTATCGTTGAAAGACCAGGCATACTTCGACATATTCTTCTCACACAAAATGTGAATTCTGAAGGAATTTACCTCGTTCGTCTATGTCATAATGGTTTATGGACAACAATTATTGTTGATGATTTTTTTCCATGTTATGAAGACGGTACGCTTCTTTTCACCAAGGCTCGACGTCGACAACTATTTATTCCAATTATTGAAAAAGCATGTGCTAAACTTTTTGGTTCTTATTCGAATTTAACAAGTGGTCAAATGGCCGAAGCTCTTAAATTATTTACTGGTGCACCATGTGATTATATTCATCTCGATCGTTCGGATGAACCAATCGATAGTGATATTGTTTGGGCAAAACTCGTATCTTGTTGTCAAGCAAAGTAAATTTATCAAATTATTAATGCTTGTTAATTTTTTGCTAAAATTTCAGTTTGTTGATTGGTGCTTCGACAGGTCGGCACGATGTAAGCAAGGATATGTATGATCAAATTCGAATAAATTCCAATCATGCATTTTCAATCTTAGCAACACATGCAACTGATAAAGACTCACGAGGGAGCATTCCCAAGTGTCACATCGCTTTTGAGTCGATACTATAAGCATCATGTAGACCCTAATGATCTATGAATAACCTAAAAAAAGTTCGTGCCGCTAGCTTATTGGTGTCGAGATATTGCATTTTTAGTTATTTTTAAGCAGAATGCCGTGGTCCCCCTCAAGGACATCAAGAAAACTGAGTTTTGAGTTTTCACTTGAAACGTTGCACACCACCAGGCCTTAATGAGAATAGTTTATAGTAAAAGTTTCAGAGCTTTTGGATGTTCATATCCTAAGATACGGCTATTATAAAATCGCTCCTATACATGGGCAGATTCGACGTTCTTGTTTCAGGATAAAACCAAAACAAAAGATCTGAAACTTTTACAATAAACTATTCCCATCAAGATCTATCTCTTTGCAAAGTTCTAAATCGAAATTCGAAAATTAGGTTTTCTGATGTTCCTGAGGGGAACCACAGCTTTCATTTTTTAAGAATACCGTAAAAATGCAATATCTCGGCACCAATAAGCTAGCGGCACGAACTTTTTCCAGGATGTTCATAGATCACTAGGACCTACATGATGCTCATACTCTCGACTCAAAAGCGATGTGACACTTGGGAATGTTCCCTCGTCAGTCCGTTTTGTACTCGTACGTGATCCACATGCTTGTTCATGTTATAGGGATGAACATATTACTCCCAAAGTTCTTACTCAATTACGTACTATAAATAATGCACATCGCTCGACGGGAGCTTTTTGGATTGAGTGGACGAAATTTCTTCGTTTTTTCTCAAAATTAACAATTTCAACATATGTTAACAACTACTTTGATATACGTGAACAGGCTAAATTTACTCGATTACCAACGGATCCTATTACCGTCTTTTATTTTCATGTACCACAGTATGTATTATAAATAGGAATGTTTGTTTAAGAAAAGACAAATTGACTAATTGCTTCGAAAATTAAAATTGATAATCAGAAAAGTAAAAGGAGTATTTCGATGTGACATATCGTATTTGGAGAAGAATAAACTATATTTTTTCTCGTAAAAAATGCTGAATCTAGTTCATATCTTAATACTATTAATTAATTAGAATATCGTTGATCAATGTGAGCATGCTTTATCACCATTATCATCGAAAATCAGACGTTAATCTTACACAAGCATTCATTTTGTGCGAGGTAGTCGACGAATCAACAAATACTGATAAACATAATTTTATTCTACACAGTCAACGCGAACTATGTACCTATTGGAGTGGATCATTACGACCAGGTATATATTATATCATACCATTTTCAACCAGTTTCTGGCATCAACATGAACAAACAGAAGAATTAAATGGTTTTACATTGGTCATACATTCCAGTGTTCAAATAGAGGGACTACTTGGCAATGAAAAATCAACATTTCTTGCTGATTCTCTCATTGCATATGTGATGAAAAGTTGTGAAAAACCACAAGAAGTATGATTTATAGTTTTTATTTTTCTTCACGTGATCTATTTCTTTTTACAAATAGTTCGATAATACAACTTTTTATACTACACCGAAGAATCAGAAGTTGACGATAATGGTTATTGAGAATCTATCAACGACATATCATCTCAACGTCGATGTAGACATGAGTGAATCAAGAAATATTCGTCACTCTCGAAATTCATTTGTCACACATGATTGTATTCCACCACAACATCGTCAAATAATCTGTATCACAGAGTGGATAATGCAGCCTGGACAATCTGGTAGACAATCATTTAAGTACTCCCGACAGCTTGTTAAGAATCAAAGTGAATCAATACCACCAGTTCGTGACACTACAGATGACATACATACATTACGACCAATATAATACTTTTTAAAAACACTCGGACTCAGTCAGGCAAATATGTCAATTTTTAGAGAAAACGCAATGTAGAACTGCGACGAACATTGTGATTTAACTAATCACGTCGTATTTATTTATTGATATTTCGACAATATTCCTTTGTCATCATCAGAATAAATACAAAAATTCACAATAAGAACAATACAATAAGACATAAGTTAAGAAAAACGAAAGTAGATGAAGAATGACGATTGTTTGTGAATGAGAGTATTATATATGTATGAATGAGTTGGCTACTTTTTGAATGAGTAGATTATTTTAGAATGAGCGCTCCTTTTGTTCGTTAGACCAGGCGTTTCGGACCCATAAAATTGCACCTAGAGGTGCTATCCGAATATTTTGAGTTTGTATTTCACTTCGTTTATTGCCTTTTCATGTGCGTAGTGAGTGAGTAAGCTTTCTTTTATGACTCTGCGTTTCCAAACGGATTCGTGTGCAAGTGTTTTTCCATTATCAATGTTCATTTGGGGTGTAGGTGTGGGTGTGAGTGATGGTGAGGCTGTGATTGTTGGTGTAGACTAATCAGACCCATACATCACACTCACGCCCATCCACAGCCACACCCACACACCCACATCCACACTCACCCACCCACACTCCACATGCACATCCACACCCGCCCATCCCCACACCCACACCCACGCGGCCACCCACACCTATACCCACATCCGCTCACATCCATCCATGAATACATTCACACCCTAGTCAAGTGACACTGAATGCCTTATTCAAATCTTCATCAACCGCCATTGTTAAGGGTGTATGAGTTTGTGTGGATCAGTTTTTTTTTGAAAACTTATCTATTTCAGTTCAGATCATAAGAAGAAATTGATAAAACTTTGGTTAAATTGTGTAGGAATAAAAGACAATAATCATTATATCTAGTACGTCGGAGAAAAATTTGGCAATGAAGTCAGAACAACAGCAAGAACAACACTGTCGCATTTTATTCACAATGATTTTTTTCTTTTCTTTTCTTTGAATGACGAAGTATTTGCCTTCATTCCTTTTCGTTCTTCTTCTTCCTTTCTTGGTTGAATCATCGAAACTTACTCGTCACCATTTTGTCAACAATACCCTTCAAGCAAACTAATGAATGCAAATAAGTGCTGCATGTGACAAAAAAAAATACACTCATTCCTATAGAAACAACCAGCCAGAAAAAAAATGTGTTGATAAAAGAAAGACAAGAAAAATATATATATATAACGAGACGCAATCATACTCGTTTCATTCATCATCGCGTTACATGGACAAAAACCCATCAAAAACAAGTGCTGCTAGTGCAGCAACAACAGAAAAAGCAACCACCACCACTCTACATAATACAGGCGTTAGTCTACATAACACACGGGTAAGTCTACATAATGTTCGGCGTGTGCTACAAAATTTTCTTCTCATCTGGCTCGACGCCAATATTGATGAGTCGCAAGAAGATTTCAAAAATTCATTAGCTCACCTTCGACATATCGTAGCATCGATCACGACATTTACAAATGTTCAAGAATGTACTGATTTTCTTCGCGAAATAGAATCAGAAAAGGCATTTATGATTGTTTCTGGTTCACTTGGACAACATATTGTACCAAAAATTTACACATGGCCACAATTGCACTCAATTTATGTATTTTGTAACAATCGATCGGTGCATGAACAATGGGCCAAAAACATCTTAAAGATAAAAGGTGTTCACACTAATATCGAGTCGATCTGTAAGGCATTACAAAATGATAGTGCACGATGTGATCGAGCATTGATCTCGATCAGTTTTCGAGGCATTGATGCATCTTTTATGTACACACAATTAATTAAAGAAGCTCTCTTGGAAATTAATGATGATGAGGATGGTGATAACAAATCTATTAGAGAATTTGCCGAGTACTGTCGTCTTCAAAATGATATTGCTACAGACGAGATTGAAAGCGTTGAACGTGAATATCATCAACACACACCTATTTGGTGGTATACAGCACCATTTTTTATCTATTCAATGCTCAATCGAGGTTTACGATTGCTAGACGTTGACATCATTCTAAAAATGGGTTTCTTTATTCGACATCTACATCGACATATTGAAAAGTTACATCGTGAACAACAATCCAAGGGGAAAACAGCGAAAGTTCTAACAGTATACCGAGGACAGGGTTTATCTTTGCAGGACTTTGAAAAAGTTAAACAAACTAAAGGGGGACTTATGTCATTTAACAACTTCCTTTCAACCAGTCGTGATCGAGATCTTTCATTGAATGCCTTCGCACGTCCAGCAGCACTTCAGGATTCTGATTCAGTTGGTATACTATTTGTCATGATCATTGATCCGAAACTGTGTGCAACATCTTCAACTCCTTATGTTGACGTCAACAATCTCAGTTTTTTCAGCGACGAAGGTTCCGAAATTCTCTTCTCTACGCACACAATCTTTCGTATCGATCAAATCAAACATATCGATGATCACGATACTGAGCGACTATGGCAAGTCAATCTAACTTTCACAGGCAACGATGATCATGATTTAAACGCACTCACCGCACACATGCGCAAAGAGCTCAGCTGGACGAAAGGGTGGTCTCGACTAGGTGACATACTTATTAAAATGGGCCACTCTGCTAAAGCAGAACAACTCTACCAAATCCTTGTTGACAATGCACACGAAGCTAACGATCGAGCGAACTACAACTATCAACTTGGTTTGGTGTATTCTAACATGGGAGAATACTCAAAAGCACTTGCATCTCACCAACAAGCACTTGATATCCGCAAGAAAACACTCCCTCCAAACCATCCAGACTTGGCTACTTCGTACAACACCATTGGTTTGGTATACTCTGACATGGGAGAATACTCAAAAGCACTTACATCTCACCAACAAGCACTTGATATCCGCAAAAAAACACTCCCTCCAAACCATCTAGACTTGGCTACTTCGTACAACACTATTGGCTTGGTACATTCCAACAGGGGTGAATATTCTAAAGCACTTTCTTTTTATGAACGAGCACTGGATATCCGCCAAAAAACTCTCCCACCAACTCATCCAGACATAGCTGCTTCCTACAACAACATTGGTTTGATATACTCTAACATGGGCGAATATACGAAAGCGCTTTCATTTTACGAACAAGCACTCCATATTCGCCAAAATATTCTCCCCCCAAATCATCCAGACTTGGCTACTTCCTACAACACTGTTGGCTTGGTACATTCTAACATGGGTGACTATGCAAAAGCACTTTCCTTTTACGAACAAGCACTTGATATCTGTCAAAAAACGCTCCCTCCAAATCATCCAGACTTTGCACAATCCTACAACAACATCGGATGGGTATATTCTAACATGAGTGAATACTCAAAAGCACTTCCATATTATGAACGAGCACTTGATATCCGCCAAAAGATTCTTCCTCCAAATCATCCGGACTTGGCTACTTCCTACAGCAACATCGGTAAAATATATTCTGAAATTGGCAAGTACTCAAAAGCATTGGCATCCCATCAACGAGCGCTTGATATCTACCAAAAAACTCTTCCTCCGGAGCATCCAAACTTTGCACAATCCTACAACAACATGGCTATGGCATATCAAAACATGGGCGAATACGCAAAAGCGCTTCCATTTCTCGAACAAGCACTTGATATCTGTCAAAAATCTCTTCCTCCAAACCATCCGAACTTTGCACAGTCCTATAAAAATATGGGTATAGTGTATCAAAATATGGGCAATTACAAAAAAGCACTTTCGTTTTTCGAACGAGCACTTGATATCAACGAAAAAATTCTTCCTCCATCGCATCCGCATATTGCTCTAGTCAGAAATAGCATTGAATGCGTGAAAAAGAAGATGTAATAGATGTCTTTCTCGTTAGAGTGATTGATTGCTATGATTACAGTGTTTTTTTTGTCTCTAAGCTTTTTTTGCTGTTTCTAGAGTAATAGATGAGACTGAATATTAGCTAACACTAGCATATGGTTACCGCAAATATACAGATCGATGGTGCCAACTGAAGGTGGAAGTTTTGAAAATTTATTGGAACTAGTTACTAAGAAGAGCACATCAGGCAGTAATCTCAACTCAATTAATTGTACAGTCGTCAGCAACAATAGCGGAGAGTGCATTGATTGATTCATTACCACGATTAGTTAACAAAATTAATGTGAAATCAAAAGAATAAAATAGAACTAACGAAAGAAAATGTCGCTAATTGGTTAATACTTTTACAAGAGATTAGGACATGGGTGTGAATTTTGATCGATGAGTGTTGATGTAGCTGGCAGCGTCTTTCGACGTCCAAGCTACCAAGTGTATTCCATTTTCAATATTTGTCTTTTTTCCTATGTAATTCTCACACAAAAATTTTTTGTCTTTGTACATGTCTGATGTCGTAAGAGTATCGTAATCGTGTTTCAACTGTAGAAATTTTCATATGGACTTCTGCTATAGACTGATCTTTAATTGAAATGAGCTGTAATTTTCAACAGAGTTTGTGACATCGCTATAGAGACATGCTTGGTGAGTAAGATTGGCAAAAAATTGATCAAAGACGATCGCTATCTAATTTGTTTGTTTGATTGTACTTAGAGTGTACCAAAAGTTGGAATCTCGATGTTTAAAATTTTATAAAACACTAAATATTGAATGTCTTATTATGAGAATATATAGTATAACGTCTCGTATTTAATAATCTATAGAGCACTTCTATCTTGGATTTAGTTCTAATATCTTGCTAGATAAAATCTATTGTACTTATGGCCAAGAAAAGATCCTGGCAACATAAAATCAGAATACAAAAAGAAAGAAATATTCGTAGTTTTATTTTATTAAATGCTCAAAATAATTATCATTATTTTCTATATAAAGTTCCATCCTTTCTAACAGTTTATAGAAAATCTTTTTAAACTCGTATATTCGAATATTCTTCACTATGGTGGAAACCTCCTGAACCAGCGATTCTTCGTTTGTGTGATCAGCCAAATTCCTCTTGATATAATCATCTAGCCAAAAGTCACACGGTACAAAATCTAGTGAATGTGGTGGATGTGAGATTATTTCGATACGTTCCTCTGTTAAATAATTAACAACATCTCGATGAGTATGAGGACGACCATTATCATGAAGCAGTTTATATTTTGTGCGTGATGATTTTCCTTTTTTTCGTATTTCATTGATAACAGGTATGAGACAATTTTCAATATAGTAGTTGTGATCGATCGTCTTGCATTTATCTACTTTATGTATAAGAACAGGACTAGTGGATTTAAAGAATAAGCAAAACGGTGTTCTAGGTTCAGATCTATGCTGACGAATAACGGTCCTTGGTGGTTCATTTTCACCAATCCCAGGTAGAATTGCTTGACTTCCGGCCAATCTGTCTGTGATAAATCCATGTCTCATCACCAGTAATAATATCACATAGCCATCATGTTCCGTTTCTGAATTTCTCTCAATTTTGACGCAAAATTCTAAATCGTTCTTGTTTGTTTTTCGTCAGTGCGTTAATGAGCAACCCAACGTGATGTAACTTTTCTCATCTTTAGACAATCATGAATAATTCGTTCTTTTGTATCACAAGATAGACCAGTTTCAACTGTAACATCATCATAAGTTGAGTGTGGGTCATCTTCGATCACTTGTCGAACAAGCTCAATATTTTCATCTGTAAGTACCGAAATCAGACGGCCAGATCGAGGATCATCACTGACATCTTCTCTTCCTTCACGAAAACGTTTCGTCCATTTTTTGACCATTGCATAATGTGAAGCATCAGATCCCAATGCCTCTGTAAGTTCGTCGAAGATTGTTTTTGAATCTATTCCTAAAATAGCTCGAATTCTGATATAGTAACGATTAAATTCATCAGCAGTGTTTAATAGATCGTTTTAAAGTTGAAATCAGATTCTATCACGATTTGAAGTCGGGTGCGATACAAATGAGCTGACAGTGAACGATCTCTCATCTATATATACTATCGAAATGTAATATTCTAGAACATGACCTCATAAAATGTGACGAGAGAGAGTGACCAATGGAAAATATGGAAAGTTTCAGAATATACCTGAACATTGGACAAAGATTAGTTAAATATTAGCATAGCCGCTAAATTATAGGCTTAGTCTAGCAGGATGTTAGAACTAAATCCAAGATAGAGCTATGTAGGTAAAGTTAGCACCATATTCGAGTTTTTTGCGCCCGGATTCGTTTTTCGACTAGGGTTGGCTCTCTACTTGGTTGGATTATATGCAGAATTAAATTCTGTATCGAATAGTGCCACTTTCGACTGGGGTCATCAAGCAAAAAACTCACTTATACTCGAAATACTGACTTTTTTTGGAAACTTTTCCAAAAGTATTTCGCGTCCCGATTCGCTTTCTCACTTGAGTTAGCTCTATCAATGGTTGTGTTGAGTTCAGAATTAAATTCTGCGTCGAATTATGCCCATTTCGACTAGAGTTGTCGGGCAAAATCGACAGGTGAACGTGAGCGAGGACCAGAAATTTCGACCTGACACTGCTACTTCCATCTACTGTTTTTGCCCGACGACTCTAGTCGAAATTGGTATCATTCGACGCAGAATTTAATTCTGAACTCAACACAACCATTTGTAGAGCCAATCCAAGTGAGAGAGCGAATCGGGACGCGAAATACTTTTGGAAAAGTTCCCCAAAATAAGTCAGTATTTCGAGTATAAGTGAGTTTTTTGCTCGATGACCCTAGTCGAACGTGGCACCATTCGATGCAGAATTTAATTCTGCATATAACCTAACCAAGTAGAGAGCCAACCCAAGTCAAAAAGGAAATTCGGACGCAAAAAACTCGAATATGGTGCTAACTTTACCTACGTGGTAGAGCTGCTCTATAGATTATTAAAGGCGAGACGTTATACTATACACTCCCATAATAAAACATTCAATATTTACTGTTTTATAAAATTTTAAACATCGTCATTCGAACTTTTGGTACATCCTAAGTACTTTTTTTTATTGCATTAGATTCTTCTGATAGGAAAAAAAACTAACAACTATATGTACTATAACAGTTAATGATACTTTCATTAAATATATCAATCAAGATTAATTTCTTTAAGAAAGGCATACGAAGTGAGTTGAGTAATATTATAAGTTGATTGAATGGCAAACTACGTAATACGAGAGTTTGAAGTCGAACATCACATTCATGTAGTTGGTTCGATGGTGAGGATTTTTCTAAATCATATTGTTCTTCAAATTGTCGTTGTTCATTTGTTACATTTAAACATTCTAGAAGGAATATTGCACACTTAAGGTCTATTGAACCGTTCGTGGCCAAAACGAAGTTTTTATTTCATATAAATTCAAGGTTGTGCATATTGTATATCCGTCATAATCTTAAAAAATAAATCCAATCGAAACGAAAACAATGATTAATGAATAAATCTTTTTCGAACTCAATCAAAATCATAATTGATTTTTGATGAATATGTTTTCTACAAGCCTTGTGAAAAAAAGATACCCAAGTTTGAATCTTTCATTTCCGTTGACTATATGCCAATTTTTATACCACAGTTAGCTGACCCTAGTGAAAATACTCATCAAGCGAGTACGACTTCTCAGAGTGAGTACTCATATTACTCACTCGTGTACTCAGGGAATTTCATGTATACGTATACTCGTACAAGTTTTTCTTTAAAGACTTACTTATAGTCAGATAGATGAGTACTCGATTGTAACGTATCCGTAGCATGCAGTGTATGCATGATATTTTCCTCTTCTTACTACTTCTTCTCATCTTATGGATTGTCCTTATATTTTTGGCCTTACGTCGTACATCGTATTGTACTTTGTCCATACCATATTATACTTATCTTCTCTCCTTGTTATCGTTTACTTTCCTCTTCTTTCCTTCTCTTCCATGGAAGAGTATACAAGCGTATGCTTTGTATGTAAACGATGCGATTCTTGATAGGAAGAAATACAAGAAAGCGTAGTTCCATCAGCGCTAGCTCTTCTTCCATCCAAAAATCGTCACAATATGTTTATTTTCTATCACATTTTTAATTGTCACTAAATAATTTATTATTTTTTTTGCTTGATTGTTTTTTTTACTGTTCTCAATTCATGTTTTATTGTACTCTCATTCTAGACGATCTACACAAAGAAATCTTCATTATTAGAGAGGATTGTTGGATATTTTCTATTTTTTTCTATATAACGAAAATACGATTTTATTGTTTTTTGATAAAAAAGCACATAAAATCGTGTTTTTATTGTATCAAAATACACAAAAAATATTTAACTTTCTTTGCTAATGATGAAAACTTCTATGTCCGTATTCCTTTGTGTTAAAATGTATGAAAATGATGGCACACTTGTATTTCTTATTTTGATTATTTTTCTCAAACTTCTATTGCGTGTGCCTGTGTTTTTATTATAAATTTGATAATAAATAAAAATTAATGTAGTACAACGATACTAACCAAAAAATACGCTTATGAGTATTTTTGTCTAGAACAGCGGAGTACACAAAATTATATAGTAGTAATACCAAAACACTCAATATTACACGGCTAGTACTCAATCGTCGTACTCAAATACTCTGATTCTAGTGCGAGTACGACTGATAAGTACTCAAAACCCATCAGTACTCATGAGTACTCGCGGCATTTTCTAGCATGAGTACGACATGAGTACTACCCTCTGAGTACTTTGACTAGGGATCATAACGACATAAAGCACTTTTTCTGATCGATTTTCTTTGAAAAGTTAGATTGATGATAACTTGAGAGGAATTAGGGTGTCGATGCAAAGAAGAGACAAACATTCAGATTTAGATCTACACTCACACTAGAGATGGGATCGGTTCAGTTCTTAGTTAAATTGATACAGTTTAAACAATCGTATATGATGTATAATTCGAGAAAATTGAATAAGAAGAGATATCAAAAGTATCAATGACCATATTGATATATTTTCTTGTCATTCATTGTCTGTGAAACAAAGAATGAAAACAAACTAATCATAGCCAATAGAAAGTTTTTCATCTATGTTTTATGTCTATTTAAGTTGATCGAGTTTTGGGATGCATGCCGGAGTAAGTACATGAAAAACGTTAGTCAAAGTACACAGGATATTCGCCGATTGGTGAATACTTTGTTGATGGAAGTCATACTGACGAAGTTCCCGCCGTGCAACGAACTGCTTCATCTGCTAATTACCGTTGTCACTTACTCATACATTGAGTGCGTCCTGTTATTTTCAATCTTTATCTGTAGCAGAAGTTATTTCGAACTTAAAACATAGTAAAAAAACATTAAATTTTTATTGACATGAAACATCTATTTTTCGATTCGGTTTAAATTTTAAAAAACCTGAACCGATCCCATCCCTGACTCATACAAACACCCATCAAAACTATGAAAAGTGTTTGATATGCCCTAAAAACTTGGTTAGAACGATCGCAACTCTTTAAACTTTATTTGTTCATATGGAGACGATGTGTTAAACGATTTCATGTTTTTCAATAGTGTAAACGTGTCTTTGAAACCATATACCATACAGTTTTAGCAGCAGTTAAAAATTATAGGTTTGGAAGAATGAAGAGCAGAATAATCAGGATTTGTTGTTCTCCTCACATTTCT